CACACACACACACACACACACACACACACGCACATACGAACAAACACACACAAACACACACATACACAAACATACACACACACATACACACACAAACACAGACACACACAAATACATAGACAGAAACACAAACATACACACACATACACACACAAACACACACACAAATATACGCATACACACACTTACACACACATTCACATATACACCCACTTACACACACACTTACACACACTCTTACACACACATATTCACACAAACACACACACACACACACACACACACACACACACACACACACTTACACACACACTTACACACACACTTACGCACACTTACGCACACTTACACACACATACAAACACACATACGCACACATACACACACAAACACACACATACACACACACACACACACACACACACACACACACACACTCTTACTCTACTTGACTCTTGTCGCAATACATCACTTCATTAACTTCTCTCAAAACTCCTCACCCATCATTATTCATATCCCACGCACATCAATCCCCTTCTCCCACAATCCCCCCTCCCCAACCTTCCCCAGCCTTCCCCACCTCACCCCCCACAGTTGCCCGAATGCCATCCCCCCAAAGACATGACCATGCTCGAAGACCTCCACAAGGCACTCATGAATAACAAGGTCGAGGAAACGAAGCAGCTCATCGAGTCAGGAGCTAATGTCAACGCTGTGTGCCAACAGGAGACAGCCTTCACGCGTGCTGTGCAACATGAGAATTTCGAAATCATGGACATGATCATGGAATGCCACGACTTTGACCCCAATGCCAAGAATGTATTTGACAGATCCCCGTTGTTTGTCACTGCAAGAAAAGGATATACTCTCTATGTTAAAGGTATGATCAGTCTTTCTGTCTGTCTGTCTGTCTGACTGTCAGTCTGTCTGTTTGACACCGAAGCTTGCAGAAATGGGAAACATCCATCGAACTACTTATGTATTAATAACAATAAAATATTAAAGCCTCAAACAAAATTTTACCATGTCTTCCAAATGCCTCCAATTTCGAGTCCAGCACATTTTGATACGCTGAGCGAAATTGACAATCAAGCGTTGACACTGCTCGGGAAAATCTCTTTCGTACCCTCCATAATGGGTTTCTGTCGAGTCTTGGGTGTTTTCGAAGGGTTTCCCCAAACACTTTGTTCTTCAAGCACATCCAATATTGAAAGTCCAGTGGACTCAGGACTGAATTGTTTGGGGTCCACTTGTGCTCTGTCGGACTGACTATCCTGCAGCCAAAACAGTTGCGTATCGCAGAAAAGCGCTGGCGTGAAGAGAAGCTGCCCCATTTTGCTAGAAGTGCTGCTTCTTACCCCCTACATCATAAAAAAATAGTCCCAAGCTTTTCTAAAACTTTGATAGAGCTATCGGTCAGGGTTCACTAAATCAAGCCACCCCCGCCCTCCTAAACTTTTCAAGAGTGCGCGGTTTTCACAGACTGCCTACGGTGTATATCTTAGGACTTTAGAATGCTAGTTCTTGTCGTCTATGTACCCAAACCATTCAAATTTGCAACCCATTTCAAAATATACATTTCTTCTTGGAGCGTTATGTTTGTTACAGATATCTATCACGAATGGCCGAGCAAATAATTGACATGCCAATTTAGGAGCTTACTTTTCTGGTATATTTTGTCTGCAAAAGCTTGCTCTACAGGAGCGAAAGGTTTAATCATCTTTCCGTTGTGCATCAGCAATGAACTTTTAAAAAAACCATAATACAGGCGTATGTTCTATCTTTCTGTCAATTTTGATATCAATTTCGTCATAAACAAGACATTTATTAACATTCCTTTGAACGAAATTTGTTCAGGTCAGCTGGTACATTACATACCAGTGGATACAAATCTAGTTAGAACCAGGCTGACAGAATATGATCCTGAGGGAACAAAAATAATTTGCAGCTTTTCTGATTCGAACCCTGGACTCTTGCTTGTTAGTAAACAGTTTTGTGTCTCAACAGGTGGTAGGAACTAATGGTTGGACTATGCTACTTACAGCCCTACTAATTTATTCTTTACTAGTCCTCTATTGTTCCGGTGTCTAGGAATTTAATACCCATTATTATTGTGTCGATGTTTATAATAAACAAATAGATGATTTTGAATTGCAAATGAGATATAACTGCCTCAGGCGTGATCTGAATTGTGTTGATATGGGGCACGAAAACAGCTCGCTGAAAAAAAAGAAATAAGCCATCTTATAACTTATTTTTATTTCCATTGCAGAACTATTGTCTATGGGCGCATACGTCAACCAACAGGACGCCCAGGGTGTGACGCCTCTGGGTGCATGTTGTTGGGAAGATTTCCATGAGACTGCGGAAGAGCTGATCCAGCATGATGCCAATAAAAACACCCCAGACCTCAATGGAGAAACTCCGCTTTATCGTGCATGTTTTCATACCAGTATCAACTGTGTGCGGGTGCTCATTGAAAAAGGCTGTGACGTGAACATCGCCAACAGATCCGGAGAGACGCCATTGATAGTAGCTCTCCCGCCTATATTGTACAGCGATATAATGAGTATGGAAGAGAATATTTCCGTCATGTTAGAAATCTGCCAGTTGGTGATCAACGCTGGCTGTAACTTGGACGCTCAAGACTCCAGAGGACGCACAGCTTTGCACTATGCTGTGGAAAGCGGACATGTCTCCGGGCTTTGTTTACTAGCAGAACATGGATGTAATTTGGAAATCTGTGACGAAAAACGTCAAACACCCTTTCAGAAGGCTCTCCTTGACCAAACGCCAGCTTTCGAGATTGCCAGATTCCTTGTGTACTTCGGCGCAAACTGTCGAGAGGAGATCAGTGTTCGTCGTCGTAGTAGGATGGAAATGAAGTCTCCCCTGGCTTTGGCGATAGAGGCTGCACCGCTCGAAAGTCCACGCAGAAAACTGCGTGAGCGATATTTGCTGCTGAGAGTTTTGATGGAAGCGACCTACCCATACCTTGGCGGTCTTTCAACAAATCTGGTTTTACCACAAGTGAGCAATATCCCCCACCCTGTGGATCCATACAGGGCTGTCGAGAGGAAAAGTGAGAACTGGATGCTCTCTCGAATACCTGCTTCCCTCAAGTTTCAGACAAGGTTGAAACTTCGAGAAATGTTAGGAGTAAGAAACACCCTAAGTAAGATTGACTCACTGCCTATTGGGAAATATTTAAAGAGCTACCTTATGCTTGGTCTTGAGGAAGAGCTGCCGCTTTCAAGAAGCTGCATGATGCATGAATATATTAAAGACAGAGAGAACAAGAAGCTGGAAGACCTCGTGCGAAATGGTGCTCATGTCAACTTCATGGTGGACGGGAAAACACCTCTCGCTAGAGCCATCATGCTCAAGAATCTGGAAGCCTTTAGGATACTAGTCTCGTCTGGAGTTGCTTCCATAGGCCATGACCCGATTAATGAAAATGGTGATAAGCCCCTCCACCTCGCTGCTGCCTATGGATTCATCGACGTTATCGACAATATCATAAACGCAGGCGGTTCTGTTAACGCGCCCAATAAGAGAAAACGCACCCCTTTGCACTCCGCCGTAGCGGCCGGCCATTTTGAAGTTGCCTCGCTTCTGATCAGACGTGGCGCAGAGGTCAAAGATCAGGAGACGATGACCGTTCCATTGCTCCACATGGCGGCTGCGAGCCACAACATTGAGGTAGTGCAGATGATGCTGGAGAGAGGGGTGGAAACTAATCTCAGGGATCATCAAAGAAACACGCCCCTGCACATAGTGGCCAGCCAAGTAAGGATACTTTAGTAGTTAATTTATTGCAGAACACCTGCATAGGCACACGCTAAACGCTAAAAAATTTTCAATTACACAATACACACACAGACACACACACACACACACACGTTCTTTCTCTCTCTCTCCCTCTCTCT